AATCCAAATGTGCAGAAGGAACCACCTAGGCAAAGGAACCACCTAGGCAAAGGACAGAGGGAAAAGCATTCCAGATTTAAAAAAACAACAGGTAGTATAATGGTTACTGTGACTGCAGTGTAGTAGTTGAGAGGGAATAATATGAAATGAGGTTGGAGAGATAGGTAGCAGCCAGATCATAGAGGACTTAGTAAAACTGGATTTAATTCTAAGTATAACTGGAAATGATTGGAGGGTCGTAAGCAGAGTATTGACATGAAGACTTATGTTTTAAGAAATCACTCTGTTCCACTACAGAAATGAAAGAGAAATGAAAGGATATGCCCAGAAAAAAATTTATTCAATAATGTTCATAGCAGCTTTGTACATAATAACTAAAGTCTGGAAATAATCCAGATATCCACCAACAACAGAATGGATAAACCAACTGGTATATTTGTGTAATGGAATACTATGCAGCAATAAAGGGAAATAAATTGCTGACTCATGTAACTAGAGACAAATCTAAAAAATATTATACTGAGAGAAAGCAGCCTTGCACAAAAAAGTATGCATTAAAATGGTTCCATTTACATGAAGTTCTAAAATAAGCAAAACCAATCTACAGTAAAAAAATTAAAAGAGTAGCTGTGTCAGAAGTAGAGAAGGTGTGGAGAAGTCTGACTGGCAGGTGGCATGAAGAAACTTTCTGGAGTGGTGGTAATGTTCTATAACTTGATGGGGGAGTTGGATTACTTAAGTGCATGTATTTTTAAAATTCATCTAATGGTACAGTGAAGAGCTGAACATTTCAATACACATAAATTTTACCTTAAAAACATAAAAATAACTCAATAGAAACACTTCTGGTATGGTAGAGTAAGGACCTCTGAAAATATGTTCCTGTGTAAAAGAAAAAGGAAAAACACTGAAAAAAAAAATAGTCATAGCCCACTTTTTCAGAACTCTGGAAATTAGCCAAAGGTTTTCAGTAATCTAGAGAATAACTAAGCTGACTTTCAATAAGAACAGAAAACTTTGTGGCATTTTTCATTGTTATATTCTCAGTCCCCTTTTTCCTGGCTCTACAATAACCTTGAAAAATAGCCTCACAATTGCATAGCTCTGAAAAGTTGCCTAGAAACAAATGGAGGGGACAATGGGTTTGGAGGTTCTCAAAAGCCCCATTCTCTGATGATTATTACTACTGGTTTATCTGAAAGCTTCCTTAAAAACTTACAGGGCTGTCTCTATTTGACCCGATTCTGTGTTCACTTGGTGCAAACAGCCTTACCCTAGGACTTATGCTGAAAACAGTCAGAAGCAATTGCTTCACAATCATTAACTACCTGAGGTGACTATACCAGCTGAGTCTAATAAGAGGCTAAACTTTTTCAAGAAAAAATTGGAGAATGACATGTCTATAGATGCTTTTAAAAGCTCTAACATATTTCTAGGAATCTAGAAGGCCACATGTATGTGTAAAGCTATGTAGATACTCAAAAAAGACCTGGGAAGACCCTTAATCTCTCACCTTAAACTGACCTTGAGGTTCTAAACAAACAGGAAGTGAAGGCTAAGGTAGAATTGTAAACTGCTTGCCAAAGCATTGAAGGCATACCCCAGCACATACACAGAGCCACTCAGTAAAGGCTGAGAGGCTTATTGGTTCAAGGCATTTAAGGAAATTTTAGCACAATCATTAGCTAACAATTAGCTAACTGAAGAAAGACTTCAGTGGCTATACACAATAAATATTAAAGAAATTACAGAATTAGTTCAGGAAAGTCACTAAAAAAAATAAACAGCAACAATAGCAAATCCTGAGGAGGAGAAGAACCTAATTTCCAGAGTTGCCACATTAGATTATTTAAAATATCCAGTTTCAACAAAAAAAAGTTACAAGACATGCAAAGAAAGAGAGCAAAGTATGGCTCATACATACTTAAAAAGCAGTCAACAGAAACTGTCCCTGAGGATTCCTTCATTGGACTTACTAGACAAAGACTTTAGATTGGCTATTATAAATATACTGAAAGAACTAAAGGAAACCATGTCTAAAGAATTAAAAGAAAGTATGAGAAAACATCTCACCACATAGACAGTATCAATAAAAAGAAATTATAGCCCTGGTCGGTGTGGCTTAGTTGGCTGGAGCGTCATCTGGTACACCAAAGGGCCATGGGTTCAATTCCCAGACAGGGCACATACCCAGGTTGAGGGTTCAATCCCAGGTCAGAGCATGTACAGGAGGCAACCAATCGATATCTCTCACACTGATGTTTCTCTCTCTCCCCCCCACCTTCCTCTATCTCTAAAATCAATTAAAAGAAGATTTTTAAAAATTATTAAAAAGAACCTCTGACTTTGACAAGTACAATAACCAAAATGAAAATTTCAGTAGAGGGATTCAACAGCAGATTTGAACTGGTAAAAAAAAGAATCCAAAAACCTGAAAATAAGTTCATTCAAATTATCCATTCAGAGGAACAGAAAAAAATAAAGAAAAATGAATAGAGCCTCTAAGTATACCAACACATATATAACAGGAGGAGAGAGGAAAAGACACAATGGGGCAGAAAGAATATTTGAAGAAGAAATGGCCAAAATCTGCCCAAATTTTATTAAAAATATTAATATACAGCCCTGGCCAAAGTAGTTCAGTGGTTAGAGCATTGGCCCGTGCACTGAAGGGTTGAGGGTTGGATTCCTGGTCAAGGGCACCATGTACCTGGGTTGCAAGTTCAATGCCAGGCCCTGGTTGGGGTGTGTGCAGAAGGTAACCAATTGATGTCTCTCTCACATCGATGTTTCTCTCTCCCCTCCTCCTCCTCCTCTTTACTTTGCTTATATAGACACATCTTAGCTGAGAACTTAGATACTAACAAAAGCAAAGTTTTCACCATGTATCTTTTGTACTGTTTAAAGTTGAACTGTTCAGAGCCTCTTCCATCCATGATATCAGACATTTCTCTGAAATTTTTTGGCATTTTTACTCATAGTCCAATTTTTTTTCTGCACAGCTACTGGGACGGCTCCTCCATGTCACTGTTCCTTAGAATCCTTTCCCTCATCAGAAGAAAGTCTCTTTGCTGGTTGAAAGTCTTCTGGGTTCTATCAGTCCCTACTCATTTCCCTTCCTTTTGTCTTTCTAGTTTCCCACAGCTAAGTCCACTGACTTACCCACTTGAAAGCTTAGCTTTGTTCCGATCCCTGGAACAAACTGACCTGGAATTCAGCACTCTAGCAATTTCTGCCTGCCCCAAGCAATAATTCATTAATTATTCTGATGACAGAGTTCCTGCATTTGAGATTCCAAGTCTTATGTGTTCAGTTTGCAGATACGGGCTTTTATCTTGGCCTCTTTGCCAAGTTTTGGGCCAGAACCTAACAGATACACTAGCCTAGTCCTACACTAGCCTAAGCCTTGCCTTTCCCTGGCCTATCTCTACACTGTTGTGGCCTAGCTGACTATGAAAAGACCTCCCAGATATTTCCCGTTATCAATCCCTTGCAAAGAACACAACCAGACTTGGATACTGCTGAAGTTCACTATCAGACCCAACATGTTATACTATATGGGTATCACCAGCTTCCTATTGATATTATCTGCTGTAAATAATCAGCTATGTACTAGTGCTAAGACACAAAGTTTTGCCCCTATGTGTTATCCAGTGGAAACTGTGCTAATTTCAGTTATCACTGTTATCAGTTCAATGGGCTAACACTTTTTTCCCTTTGCTTTGCACTTGACAGTCATCTTAGAGCACCTTAAATCAACCTGTTTCTATCCTGTTCTCCCAAGGTCTGTCTCTACTCATGCCCCTTTTAAATTTATTTCTTCAAGAAGTATCCTTTGTTTTTGCAATAATCCTATTATAGCTATGAATCCTTTTCTTACTCCATTCTTGATGTTATGATGCTTTTATTCAAGGACTGTAATACGTGAAACTTTCTGTCTAACACATCAGAAATCAAATATCTGAATAAGTATTATTTTCCCTCAAAATAGCTATGTTGGAGGCTATTCACGTATTCTAATGATGTTATAAATGGCCAAAACATTTCTGGAATTCTTTTGAAATTTGCCAGTTCCATATCTTTAACCTTCTCCAAGAAGATCAAACCTGTTACTTTATAGTATTTGATTAAAGGGCAATACCTGGCTAAATTACTATTTCCAAAAATTAGATTTACCTACAAAAGATGAAAATTTGCTATTACTGAGGAATTTTTAAAAACTGCTTAGAGAAATTTTAAAAAATTACTTAGCCTCTGAAAGTAATTGCAGAAGTTTAAAATAAATGTTGAGCCCAGTGGGCGTGGCTCAGCTGTTGAGCATCGACCTAGGATTCCCGGTGAGGGCACATGCCTGGGTTGTGGGCTGCAGCTGATCAATGACTCTCTCATGATTGATGTTTCTATCTCTCTCCCTTCCTCTCTCTGAAATCAATATATATTTAAAAATAGAGAAAGAAAATAAAAGTTGAGAAAAAACATCACAGAATAAATGAATGACAACCTCTGTATAACAACACAATTATCTTACCTCTAAGATTATTCTTCTATATATAAAATGAAGATAACTTCTTACAGAATTATTATAGGGATAAAATGATAAAGTAAATGACATCTCTGGAATCCATCAAGTGAATAAATATTCCTAATCATGCCTCACCACTGCAAATTCAGATGGATTCAAAACACAATTATTAAAACAGATTCATTTTAAAACTGGATTTAGGTCTTTGACTTGAGGATTAAGTTGACATTTTTATTTTGCAGGAGGTTAAAGATGAAAATCAAAGATCCATTTTAAAAATCATTTCTATATGCAATGAAGTTCTGGTTTTCAGGAAATAGTTCATGATTTGGAAAGTGAAACTTAAAACTCACTCTTACTGAAAAAAAGGGGATGGAGGGAAATTCCAGAACTCAGAAGCCACAATAAATATAAATAATACCTTCAATTCTTCAACATGGGAATTCCCCAAGGAACAGACAACAGGTTTTTGCAAAGTCAACTGTAATGCTATCCAATCAGAGTTGGAGAGGAAAAGTGCCTTTACAAATAAATACTGCATCCTAGCCCCACGTTTTCTGATACATTCCTCAACTGCCTAGACATTCTGAGTCTACTGCAGAGGAAACTCCAGTCACAGCACCATGAACCAAAGTGCTGTTCTAATTTTCTGCCTTATCCTTCTGACTCTGAGTGGCGCTCAAGGTAAGGAACATCAAGTGATATTTAATTTGTAAGGTCAGAAATAGAACTGGGTATAAATTCTACGAATACAGAAATAGTGTATTTGCAAAAGTTTTACAGCCTGCCTATGAATGAAGGGTAAATGAGCAGAGGTTCCCTCTGGTCACAGAGTTTATAGTCAGAGAAGCAAGCGGAATGAGAGGAGGAAGGTGGCAGCAAAAGAGAAAGGGGGAAAGGGAGGATAGACAGAAAATGTGAAGGAATGAGGAGCGAGAAGATCACAGATACCCTTAGTCAATTTAGCCTAATTAACCATATGAACTATGCGCAAGGGTATGATCTTAAAATCAACAAGTTGCAATTACATTCTTTCAGATAATTGACTAATCAATCATTCAGAGCTCTTTTATAATGGAATCATCCCTTCTCAGATTGACTATGTGATGACGCGGGGATACAGTTTATGCTAAGTACCACCTAATCCATATTAAATGCCTAAGATGAAAATTTAGCTAACCTCCCCTGCTGTACCTGTCTCTTTTTCTGCAGGAATACCTCTCTCTAGAACTTCACGCTGTATGTGCATCAAGATTAGTGATCAACCTGTTAATCTAAAGTCCTTAGAAAAACTTGAAATGTTTCCTGCAAGTCAATCTTGTCCACATGTTGAGATCATGTGAGTAGAATACCATCTGATGATTATCTCCCTGGCTGTAATCAGATAAAAATACTTGCTGATCACAAAAGATCAGTAAAGGGTTTATGATGATTCTAAGACTTCTGTATAGCGAAGGGAAACATGTAGAGTGAAACTTAAATGTCTGATTTAAAAACTGTATATTCCATCTGTTTATCGACCAACATTATTTTAAACGTTTTCACTCCTACTTACTTCAACAGTGCCACAATGAAAAAGAACAGGGGGAAAAGATGTCTGAATCCAGAGTCTAAGGCCATCAAGAATATGCTTAAAGTAATTAACAAGATAAGGTAGGTTTGCTGTTGCTTACAGAAGAACTGTTCTTTAAGAAATGTCAATCTCAGGAAGTTAGAAATATTTGCATTGAGCTTTCCTGTGGGATATGTGGCTTAAAAGTGTGTTACCACCATGCCCTCTCCTCTACCTCCAGTTATTTATATACTAAGGTGTCACCTTGGTGGTATCAAATGTTACCCTACATGTCTAAACATGTCAGTAAGACACTTCAGTCTCGAGGCAGAGCTATAACTATCCATGCAAAGCTGCCAAACTTTCCCCAAGCCTTTCCTGGCCTTAAAAAAGCAGCACCTGTAACCCACAATGATTGTGTAGCAGCAGGAAGCTCACCACATACCTCACTTGAGCGCTTGATGTTACCTATGAACTCAGTTGAGTTTCAAGTAGAACACAGACTGAAGCCAGAGTTGAAAGTTTCAAACTTTTACACCCTCTTTCTCTTCTTACAGGTCTCAAAGATCTCGAACACGGAGAGAAGCATAATTAGCACACTACTGATAAGGACGGACCAATATGTCAAGCCCAAATTGTCCCTGGATTGCAGTTCTCCTAAAAGGTGACCAACCAGTCACCAAATTAGCTGCTATTACTCCTGTAGGGAGGCAGATGGCTCATCATCCTAAGCTGTCCAGCAGTAACTCTGCCCTGGTACTATAAGCTATGCTTAGGTGCTACATTTCTAGTGAATGTGCCAAGCCCTAGTCCTGCTTTCCTCACCTTTCCTACCTTCTAAACGTTAAGAGATCTTTCTGCCTCTGGGCTTACCAGAGTTCTTAGAATCTCAAATAACTAAAAGGAATGCAATCAAAATGATAATATAATCTGCTTTTTAAAGAAAGATCTTTACTCCATGGGCTTCTACTGCCATCTTCCAAAGGGGCTCAGACTCTTCTGGTGGTTGTATATATGCGTATGTGTATATATATACACACCACAAAATACATAGAAGCAGCTAGAAATGTCTGAAAATGTATGTGAAAACAGTATTATTTAATGAAAGACTATACAAAGTAGAATCCTTAGATGTATGTTTCTTATATTGTTTTCAGTGTTACTTGTGTAATTTAGTACTACACATGAATGAGCAATGGAAGACATTTTAAAATCTACATATTTTAGAGAAAATATCTTTAGAGAAAATACCATGTAAGACAAATATGCTGAATGTTTTTCAAAATAAAAATGATGTGCTCTCCTGGAAAGAGTAAGAAAGATTATTTATTGTTGAGAGACCAAGAAGGTAATAAAGTAATTACAACTATGATGAAGTGTCTGGTCGGTCATTTGACTGGGACATTTATTTCGTAAGAAACTTCAACTGGAGAATCCTTAGCCAAAGAAGTTGGGATGGGTAGAGGACAAATGAGTTTGAAAATTACCATATTCCTAAAAGAGACAGAACTCATGGACATGGACAACAGAG